GAGAGGCGCGCGGCCCGCCCCGGGCGCACAGCGCGGCCGGGCGGCGGGGGAAGGCCCAGGCCGGCGGATGGGGTCGACAGGGGTCCGCGCCTTTGTTCCCGGCGGGAAGGCCCGTGGGGACGCGACTCACCTTGCTGCTGGGCTCCATGGCCACGCTGCGCTGGTGGCTCTGGCAGCGCAGGGTGCGCGGGTGGCGACGGGCGGGAGGACGGTGCTCTGCGGCTCAGGCTCGTGCTCCGGTCCCTAGACTCCGACTCCCGCCGGTTGGCTCTCGCTCCCTCGGCGCGCTCACTCCGGAACCCGCGGCCCGGGAGCGGCAAGTACGTTGGTGCTGCCTCTTCCCTCCTGCGGGAGAACGCGCGGGCGGTAACGTTTATAGGACCCCTGCCATTGGCTGGCGCCGGCGGTGTGTCCAGGAGTGTGTGGGCAGAGCCTCGGGGCGGAGCCTGGGGCCGAGAATGTCCGGGCGGGGCTCCACGGTGAGGGGGCGAGCGGCGGGGAAGGGGGCGGCAGGGCTCCCAGTGGCAGCCTCTGGCTGCCAGTCTCCCGCGCTCCCAGTGCGCTGGGTCCGGAGAGGGCGCTCGCTGTGTGATCCTGGGCAAGTGTGCACACCTCTCTGAGCCTCGGCGTCCTCTTCTAGCAAAATGGTGGAGCCGATGCCCGGCTGTAAGGCAAGCAGGGAGCGGCACAGGGTAGCGCTTAATAACTAGGACTCTGGCGTCCTCACCCTGACGCTGGATAACTTCGGTAAACTAGGGATAATAACAGCACCATCTCTGAGGGTTGTTAGGAAGATTGAGTTACTATTTGTAGAGTGTTTAGAACCCTTTACGTGGAAAGTGGTATTTAAGTATTAGAGAGACTATGGGAGATCTTGCTCTGTGACTGAGTTTTCCCTTCCCCCCTCTACTCCCCACATTCCTGTTTCCATGCCCACCTCTTCTCTGGTCTTTAAAATGGCCTCATCTGTGATGCCTTCCTCTACATTTGACAGTTCAGGTGAGTCTAGGGTGACATATAAGTGTGAAAAATATGAGAGGCAGGGTAACTAAATGGTTGATGACACAGGAGACCTTGGGTTTGAACCAGCTCAACTGTACACGAGCCCTACTGTGATCCTAGGCAAGTTCCTGGCCTGTGAACCTGTTAGCTCGTGGGTAAAATGGAATTCATAACACCAATTTCATGTGCTATCCTGAGAGTTACAATTTCCAGATAAGCTCAGGAAGTGCTCAGAATGTACCATACACAGTAAGTCCTTATTTACTGGTGTTGGTATTGCTGTCATCTGATCTCACCTTATTTCCTTTTCTAGACCCGTGCCTTACTTGATACACAGTGAGGGGAGAGACCCCAAGTCCAAAGGTCTGGCCAAAGACTTGAGGTTATGCTGAGGGTCCCTTTCCCTGTGGAGGGGGTCATGGTGGGCTTACTGTCTATTGGAAACAGGGAGGCTGGGCTGACCAGATGAGCCCTGGAGTTCTCTGGGCACTGCGTCCAGTACTGGCTGAGGGGGCACCCTATTTGGGCATGGAGCTCTGGAAGGGAAGGCAGGCCCATTCTGGGCACATCCCTGCCCATGGCTGCACTTTATATGGACTCTTGAATCTCAGTCTGGAAAACTTGGAGTCACTTCTCTCTTCTCTCCTCACCAGGACCGGAGGCTGCCGAGTCCTGCCTACTCTACCTTCTGCACCACCTCATCCTCCTTCCCTCCCCTGCTGTCTGCAGGTTCTCCGTCTCCTCTAGTCTTACCTCCTCCAATCCTGGACCCTGTCACTCTCCTGCTCATATATCTGACATTGTCACGGCCATGAAGGCCCTTCTTCAGCTCACCAGCTTACAAGTTCAGCCTTGCCTCTCACCCCTGCACCTCACATCCATGTCTTTGCTCTCAGATGGTTTTTTCTGCCTGGGAAGCCCTTCCTCCACTTCAACGTGCCAAAATGCTCCACCTCAAAACACCAAAAGCACCCCAGGAATAAGTTCTCTTCTGGGAAGAGTCCCTCATTCCCCCAAATGGGAATCTTTCTCTCCTTTACCCTTTCGTATTTCTGTCTTGTCCTTTCTGCTCGTCCTTTCTGTCTTTCCGCAGACTGCACCTGGAGGGAGGCTTCTGTAGCTGAGGCACCTGGCTGAATGAGTGAAGGAAGGAAGGAAAGAAGGAATGAGTGAGAGAGCAGCTAGTTTACCTGTCTCTGGATTCCCTTCCGCTCCAGTCCATCCTGCCAACACTTCCAGTCCTTCCTTACATACCTTTTGGGTTTTGCCAATTCCCTGCTGAAAGCCTCTCCAGAATGCCCTGTTTCCTACACATCCAGTCTACTGTGTATGCCCCACTCAGAACATGGGTCACACTCACCAGGCAGGCATCTTTTCCTTCTCCAGGCCAGCCTTCTGCTGGCCACTTTCCTAGGGACAGAGGCATATGAGCCCACTGCTAGCCTCATGGAGTCCCCAAACTGGAAGGTTTGAAGCAAGAGGGGAGATGGGCAGCAACAATACTAGGTTGAGTGTACAGGGATGAGTATGTACAGGAGCAGAACTTGTACCACAGGGGAAGGAGGGGAATAGAGAGAGCTTCAGGGAAGAAGCAGGTCATGCTGAGCAGGGTTTGGAAGGCTGAATATGAGTTCACCCACTGGATCAGAGGGAAGAGGAAACAGCATGTACAAAGGCAGCTATGGTCAGACTGTGATGGCCAAAGGAACAAAAGAGTCTCTGACCACACGTAGAGACTGACGGTGGAGCCCGAGATTCAGACTCCTGAGTCCCCAGCTCTGCTATTTACTTGCTAAACATCCCTAAGCAAATCGCTTCTCCTCTCTGAGCCTGAATACCCACATCTGTAAAACGGGTATAACAGACACCTCCTGGATAAGCCTGAGGAAGAGCAGATGTGTATAAAGTTTTATCCAAATAAACTGTATTACTTCTTGATGTCAAATCCCCATCCCCTGGTCAGACGGGCACTTGAGGACAAAGCAGAGTGGCCAGAAAAACAGCTTTATCATCGTCCTACCCCACCTTACCTGCCCAAACACAACCCCCCATTACCTGCTTGAAATTCCACTTGTAGGTGTTCTCTCTCTCTAAACTTTTTATGACCCCTGGAGGCTGTTATTCAGAGGCAAATTCATCAGAAGCTATCGACACTGGATCGGAGATTAGATTCTCAGGTGGACTGATTTATTCTTTGAGTGGCTTAGTTCTTGGAAACAGAATCTAACTCCAACTGGGGAAGGAGCACCAGAGAAGGCCCCAGAAGTAGCATCCGAACCGGGAAGGTTTGGGCACCTAAAGGGGGGTCGGGGGAGCAAATACTTGGAGGGAAGGATGAAGGTACAGCTTACGCCAGAGAGTCAGCCAAGTAGCCCCCTGTGGCTGGAGCGTAGGGCTTGGAAGAGAGAGGAGATGAAGATGGGGGAATGTGAGTAAAAGAAGAGGCTGAAGGGGTGGGATCACAAAGCCCCCAAATGCCAAGTATAGAGGTTAGGGCTTTATTCAGTGGGCAGTGGGGAGCCATGGAGAGTTTTTGAGTGGGAGAAGGACCTGAGGAAATCTCAGCCTCTCCATGCGCCCTCCCTCCCTGGGGCTCTGAAGGGGGTGTGATGAGGCTGTGGAGCTCCAGGATTCAGTGTGGAGGGACCCAGTGCCTTCCTCCTCAGTCTGCACCCACACTGGCAGCTTTGGTCCCTGGAGGCTGCCTTTAGCCCTGGAAGAACCTTGGGCTTTTCTGGGTCCAGTGCCCAGCAGTTCCAGCCCCAGCCAGTTGGGAGGAAAAGAGCTCTCTGGGACTGGTGGGGAGGTGCTAGGTGGACCGGCAGATGCTGGCACCTGGTGCATGCCTCAGAGCACTCATGTGGGTAGTGGGGTGGTGGTGGCAATGCTGTGCAGGGCGGGTCCTAGTGGGTCCAGAGTCAGTAATGAGTAAGGCATCCGGAAAAGGCTCTTTTACCTTTAAAGGCAAGCGTCCCTGGCAGCCTGGAGAAAAGACTTTGCCAGCTCAGCTGCCACTGATGCAAGGGGGGCCAGCAGGGGCTGGGACAAGAGAGCCCCTAATCCGAAGGATGTTTTGCAACTCAATCCTCCTGCACTGCAGGTAAACACAGGATTGGACTCCAGGGGAGCCTGATGGGCCAGGCAGGACAGTTTTGTGTGTGTTTGATATTTTCATTCTGATTTACACACCTGCTTTGGCCACCTGCTCCCAGAAACCTTTTCAGCATTCCTTGTTTATCCTTTGGTGTGCCCCTCCCTGGCCCTCTGCAGTGCTCTGATTGGTACCACCACCTACTCACTGATGCTGGGGGATATTGAAAGAACATATCCCTCCTCCACTCTCTCCTGAGCACTCTCTCCTTAGGCTTGTCTGTCCAGCTGCCTCCAGATCTGCCCTCTGATGTCCCACAGGTACCTCACATTCACCATGCTTAAATCTAAATGCACCATCTTCCCCCTTTCCCTCCTAGTCCTCACCCCAGAGATGGCTCCTCTAGCCACCAAATTGCCCCAGCCAGAGATCTGACATCTTTCTTGACTCCTCTCTTTCTCTCTCATCCCCCAAATCCAGTCAATCCTGTGGGCTCTGCCCTTCCAAAATATCACTGGACTCCATCCCTTCCTTTCCAGCCCCAAGCCCCTAGCCCTTCCTCTAGGGTAGGCTAGAACCACTGCTCATTCATCCTCCCACCTGCACCACGCTGGGCTCTCTCAAATGCACATCACTCCCTTGTTTAAACATCTTCCCATGGCATGCAATGACACGGCTAAATTTCACAGACATCATGTTGAGTGACAGATGCCATATGCAAAAAGAGTGTGAGTTCATGTACATAAAGTTCAAAAACAGGCCAAACTTATTTATGGGATTAGAAGTCTGGAGAATAACTACGCTTGGAAGGGAGGGTTGTGGCTGTGAGGGGCAGCTGGTAATCGGGGTGAGGCAGGTGGAGACCAGATCAGCAGTACTGGTTTTTTCTTTCCCCCTGAGCTTTAGTATGACTCAGCATGGCAAATTTTGATATTTTGTCATCATGGATTTTTTGTATTTTGTTTTTCAAGAATATCACATTAAAAATATTATTTATCTTGGTGACTGAGTTTTTTGGCACACCCTCCCCCTTAAATTTTACGCAGGAGGAGATTGCCTCTCTTGCCACACCCTATTCCTGACCCTGCTGGTAATGTTGTTTCTTAATCAGGATGCTGGTTACATGGGTGTGTTGTTTGTGCAAATTCATCGAGAATGTGTACATTTCTCATTTTTGCACTTTTCTGTGTGCATGTTATGCTTCAATTTAAATTTTTTTTTTACTTAAAATCTTTCTGTGCTTCCAAGGGAATGTGTCCTGTCTTGCTTTCTTCAGTGTCTC